GAATACCTAAGTAAATCTCTTATATCCTCAGGGGGAGCTCACCATAAGCACAAATTTCCTGTGCATCTTTTCCAGCCCCTACTAGTATAGAGCATTGTCCCTCCTCCCACCATCTCACAGACCAGGTAGCTGCCCAGCCAGCACCACTCTACAGGGAGGCAAACAGGCTTCCTAACTCCTTTGAATGGAAAGGCAATGATGAAATGCCCCCCATTTAGTGACCTCGGTTTATAGATAAAAGTTGAGTCCATATCCTGCCTCTTTTCACCCTACTCCCCCACCTTGCAAATGACAAATGACAGCAATAGTCCTTAGATGACAATAAGCTTCCAGTGGCAGATTCTGTCTTTTTGCCTTTTCGAGGGGGAAAAAAAAACCGCTTTAAAATAAGTCACAGCTTACAAACTGTTTACCTTCTTTCACCCCACCCATTCCTTTAAAAACAAAACAATAGAGCGTACGGTGTGGGGATTTGACAGAGAATCATTACTAAAGCTGGGGTTGGGGAGAGGGGCAGAGAGAGAAAGAAAGAAAGGGAAGAGAATGATGTTATGAAGCCATTTTTCCCTTCCTGTGGCGAAAGGTCGTAATGTGTGGTATTTTCACGGTTTTATATAAATCTTGGTTTAGGATGTGGAACAGACTCAATAATACATGTGTTTTTGGCAAAGAGACTTCTTCTGTTCTCCATAAATCAGAAGTAAATAAGAAGTCCTGGCGAACAAAAGAACAGAAACGTTTAATTGTAAACCAGCATTCCCATCTCCCTTAGAGAAATTTCCCAGTTCCTATCTTCATGGTTCCAGTTCGACCTATAAAACAGGTTATTACATTACAGCCGTCAGCCTTGGATTAAAAAGGAAGTCCCCTATCACTCCTTGGTATACTTTCTGCCTACCACCACTGAAGAACCTAAGCTTGTCGGATGGAAAAGAAACCGTGGGGGGCGACGGCGGGTGGTGGTGGTGGAATGAGGTGGGAAAGAAAGGGCTGCGTAGAAAAATATTTAACCAATCCCACATGTACCACTGTTATTTGTGCTGTTTTAGAAGCTCGAAGTTCACTGAGACTGTGCCGGGGTTGAAAAAACCAAGTACTATGTTCAACGACCGCGGGCAACCTGAGAACATTGGTCCAGGAGCAAACCGCAGCGCCCCCTCCCCAAACGCCGTGGCGGCGGGAGCCTCCACCCAGACACTGTGGGAGGGGGTGCTTAAGAGTGGATGAGAGGGGTGACCGCAGGCGGATCCGCCGGCGTGGCACACTTCCCAGAGGTGCCTGAGGGAGTCTGCCCTTAGGGCGTGCCTCCCGGGAAAGCTGGAGCGCTCTGGATTGGCGCGACCCCAGTGGCTAGTGGGAGCCGCGTGGTCCAAGGGGTTGTGGTACGAGTTGGGGTGGGGATAGTTGGGTAGCCATAAAGATCCCTCTCCGAGAATAAAAGGAAGTGTAGAGGGGGAGGTGGAGACCAGCCACTGTCAAGGCCGGGTGAATGAATGTAGGGTGCACTGGGCTCAGGAGAGCGCCTCCTGGCCCTTGGCTCTCGGTGGAAGACTCCTAGGACGGCGCGGCCAGGACGCCGCGAGGCGTGGGGCGTCCGGTGGGATCAAAGAAGTTAGAGGAGGCCAGCCGGCGCGTCTGGGATTGTGGGAGAAGGGGCGGGAGAGAAAGGATTGGTATGGGCGGGGATATCCTATCCTGGCCTGGATCACTAGGAGGGGTGTGTGTGCGCGCGTGTGTCTTTACGCGGTCAACCCACTCCTGCGGAGGCTGAGGCCAGGGTGGATCCGAGTGTGGGTGGATAAGCTCCCGGGTGGGTGTACCGACGGGAGGGAGTAAAAAAGAAGGAGATCAAGGGCAGTGAGGTCTGCGGGTTCCTCTGTGTGTGTCTCAGGCCCTGTGGCTCAGAACTGGAGCCGCCTGGCACCCACAGGAATGCGGCTTCTCCCGGCTCTCCAGGCCGCCCCCTGTTCCACAAGGAGGTAGTCGCCAGGAAAAAGGGGGGAAAAGGGCAGAAATCTGCCTAGCCCAATATGAGACTCAGACAAAGGCTAATTTATCTGATCTCTTCTTACAGGAGGGCCCCAGTGGAGGGCAGGGCACCGAGGAACCTCACTGGTCCTGCCGGCATGCCCCAATCCTCAAAGGCTTCGTGAGCAAGTCTGAAGATGAGGGCAGGGGGTGGAGTTGGGAGTATAGAGGGAAGCCCACGGAAAAGAAAATTAAATCATGGGACAAGTTTGATTCATCTTGGGAACATTAGATTGGGAACAAGGCAAGTGGGGGTGCGAAGTCCGGGAGAGTGGGCTAAACCTTCCGGGAATATATTGGGATGGTACACGTTTACGTTAGATAGAAGAATAAACAATGGAGAGGGAAGGCGGGAGGGAGAGCGAGGGAGAGAAACAGCACATAGATATTTTTAGACTTTGCTGAAGATCTGTTATTTTTACATCGTTGGGCACAGGACTGCAGGGAGTTAAATTCCCCGGGGAGAACCCCCGTGGTGCCAGGGAAAACCCGCTGCAGACCTATTTGCCAGAATATTTATGTCCACGGCTCCTTGACCACGTTTGAGAAGGGGGAAAAAAAAAAACCGCTCAGGAGAGAAGGCTACTGCGAGTGGAAGAAGTGAGGTTAGCGCAAGGGACGAAATCCTGGGTCCGCGCGACTAGGCTGGGCCTTGGCTACCTGGCAACTTGGCTTTTGTGCCCTTAACAACAAGCAGCGTCAAAACTGAGGGTAGTGGTGGGTGGCATTTAAGAAAAGCTGCCCTCTTCTCTACAAAGACTCCAAACTCGCCCTTCTGTTAGCTCTGCCGCGCTTGGAGGTTGGGGGCGGTGGTGGAAGGCTCCCTCTTTTCAAAGCCAAGAATGGGGGTGACAGTTTGATGGGGTTGGCTGGATAAATATCTTCCGTCTCCATGAAAAGGAAAGAGGATGTTCAAAGCACATTCTTGACACTGTCAGGCAGTCAGTGGGTAGGAAACGTTAGACGTGCACAGTGGGTGCGCCCCTTTAACCTTCCCAAACAAGCTCCCCCAGGCGGGGAGAAGCGACCGCGCAAGGGAGAGAGACGCACGTACGCCGCTGGCGCAGGGTTTGGTGCTTGGATTCGCAAGAAATAAAATGCCGGCTTTCGGTGTAATGGAAACTCACAAAATCCTTACAAACAAAGAAAGAAACAGCAGAAAACAGATCCCTTCACCTCTTTCCTCCTTTCCCCAACTGTTTGCCAGCTCACTAAACAAAAGGAGCACCTTTAGGCTGTCTCGGGAGCACCCAGCCACCCGGAACTTCTCCCGAGAAGGAGGGCTGGAGGGAGATAAGGAGAAGCTTCGAGAAGCCGCGGTTCTGTTGTTGAGAGTAAGGCAAGGGAAGGGTCCACAGCTCAGCGTAGAGTCAATCCTGAGCCAAGCAGGGAACGTCTTAAGACTCGCCAAACCATTGAATTCCCCCAAGGCCCAAGCCGTTTTAAACCAGTGGGTTAGGCTCCCGCCTGCAAAGAAAGGAAAGGGGAAGAGAAAGAAAAAAACTGAGACGGTGGAAGGGAGGTGGGGATAAGAGGAAAGAAGAGAGAGGACACACAGGTAAATTCCCCTCCAGGCACGCAGCGTGCCTTTTCAGGTCTGGTCTCCCAACCCTGGAAAAACTTTCACAGAATCCTCAGGTGACAGGATGTAATTTTTAATGTTCTAATCCCTCCCCCCACCCCCCGCCTTTAAAAAGACTTTTTTTTTTTTGGGGGGGGGCGGGTTGTCACATTTATTGCTGCTGACTTCCTAGCTGTAAGACATTTCTCTTGCATCTTGTAATTTTCAACACTCTTTCCCCTCTTGGGATCCCAAGGAAATCGAGTCAGGCGAACAGAACAACCAGAAAGACGCCTACAATTCACGCCTGGGGTCACAACTCTAGATTGTGCTCCAGCTCCTATCACACAGTTGATGTCTATATGCAGAGATTAGGGGAGAAGGCCCGAGTGCTGCACGTCCTCTCTTTCTGCCAAAAGAAGGATTCACAAAGGAAAAATCCCCAAACAGATTCAATTTCCCATGGTTTGGAGCCTACTTTACTACTGTGTTCTATCAAAGCAAAGCAGAGGAAGACTTTCCTGTAAAAACCAGAGTAGTAGAGATGAAAGAAAAAAATATATATATATTTTAAAGAATATTATTTCACATGAAGTGAAATCATCACAGCGCCACAATGCTTTCATTCCTTTCCTTCATCCAGGGATCCCTACTTTTGGCTGGAAGACAAATGTTCCCCATAGGTCCTGCTCAACCTACTGGACTTAGGTGCATCATTGTTCTCAAGTCCTTTTATCCAGAAAGGCCTTCAGGGCTCCAAATTACCTTTAGCTCTCTAAAAGAGCTAAGATACATTTACAATAATACATCCAAGAAGTCCAAGATTCTACCATGCCCCCAAGTTAAAAACAATTATTTTTAGTTAGGAATAAAGGGTGGGGGGGTTTCTTTCTTTTACTTTTTTTTTTTCCATTCATTTTCTCATCTCTGTAAACTCCTTTGGAGGAAGGGTAATTTGTCTAATTGCTCTGGCAATACACAGCGGCTGACGGTAGGGACTGGGGAGGGGGGGGAGGGCGGGAAGGCAGCTCTCCACTCTAATTGCTTTGAGCCCAGAATTTTGAGGGGTTATTGAGGGATTTCTGTTACCTTCTCACTCTTACAGGGTGAGAGGGGTGTATTCAGATTCCAGTTTTACTTTCTACATGAAACACTTTGGGGTAAACTTAAAATGATCTAAGTGTTTTTTTCTTTATGGTTAGGTTAAAAGCACCTAAATATATATTATTAGGCAATTCTGTAAACAGAGCACATGTGTATCTAGAGATATAAAATACAGCATCCAACATAGCAAGATTCCCATATCATTTTCTGTCCTGTTGGATCTCTGCAGAACTTGTCTTCCATTAATTGCCTGCATGAAACATCACTACTCTGGGAGCAAAAAGGAGTATTTTTAGAAACATTCTGCTTTCATGGTCGAAATAAGTTTATTTATCCAGAATATACAGTTTAATCCCTCTATCTACACTTATTTACATGGTTAAAATAACAATGAAAAAAAGTCTTTTGAAAAGTTGAGGTCATAGATTTCAAGGCACCATTGATAGTGTCCACAGTTGCGCAAAAAAAAAAAAAAAGTTCGTCTGTAAAAAAACGGGGGAGTCCTTTGAAATGCAATAACTTACATGCAAAAAAATACTTTACACATGAACCTTTTTGTTTGTTTCCGTTTTCCAAACGTCCCCATATGAATTCCTTTCTTTATGATTTTCTAAAACAGTAAAACACAGTCCCATAAAAGAGCAAAGGAAATCGGTCGGTCTAATAGAGTGTCCCGGAGGCCAACGCCAGCGGGTGCTGTAAGGAGCCGGGCGGCGGCAGGTGGGAATTGATTGAACTGGCTGCGCTCGGGTACCAGGAAGTTGAGTTCTCCAGGTAGCTGGAAGCGGGGGATGGGTTGGAGGTCGGAGGGTGGGCATGAGGGTGGTGGCTGAGCGAGCGGGATGAGCCCTGGGGCTCCCACACCGCCGGAGACTGCGGCGAGTTACACGCCATAGGGTCGCTGGAGCTGGGACTGTGCTCCGGGGGCATCTCCCCGTTTTTCATGATCTTCTTGATCTTGGATCTTTTGTTCTGAAACCAGATTTTCACCTGGGTGGGGAACAAAGGCACATGTTACGGGACACTCAAAGGCCGCCCGCGCCTTCCCCCAGGCCTCTGCGGGAGACAACTGCTAGGCTGCCTGACCCTGGCAAATCCCCCGCAACTCGCAACTCGAGGGCTATGGCCAAGGGCCTAGGCCAAAGTCTTAACCTAGAAGGCTTGGCAAACAGGAGCGGCGGGGAGAACTAGGCCCCAAGGCTGTGGTCTTTTGTTTGGCGGGGGAGGGGGACTCGAGCGCGTTGAGTGGACGCCCCAGTGTTCGCGTACCGGCTTGCGCGCACGCAAAGGCCTACCTAGAGCACATAGAACACTCCAACTAGACGGTCTCCCACACAATGGCCGGAACCGACAGGGGAGAGGGGATATGATGGGGGTAGGCCCTAAGGCGCTATCAGGTGAGGAGCTAGAGGCGCGACCCCAATCTCCCTCGGGACTCCTTTCACTCCCATTCCAGCATCGAGAGGCCAGAATTTGCCTGCAGCTCTAGGCAACGACTCAAACATTCTTTTTCCCTCTGTAGACCCTAGCTGGTGTGGAGATGGAATGAAGGTAATGACACAATCCGGGAAAATTTCCCCGTACAACAGCGCCCCCACCCCGATATCTGAGACCCAATTTCTCAGACCCTAGGCAACGTTCCGGCCTTTGCCCGGCCTGAGTACCCTGCTAGGGCGCCAACCCTGTTCATCCCGGGACAGCTCTTCACCTTGAGAAAACCAGGCAACTTCTCAAACTTCTCAGTGTTCACGAAATAACCCTTTCCTTGGTTCCAACCTAGGAAACTGGTCTCCCGCCCCTGTTGCGAAGAGAGGCATCTCCAAATGAACTACCTCTCTGTCCAGTCCCCACCATCGCTTGACTGCGACACCTGGGTTGACTCATAAAAGGAAGGGTGTAGGCAGGACTGTCTTTTGCTGCCTGTCTGAGTTTCTCGCGGGTGTTATCGAATCAGCTCCAGTCCGTAGGGACCAAATCACTGGGCCCAATCGGGCTTGCAGCCGAGGCGGGGCTCGAGCCGGACTGAGGCCTGATTTACCTGTGTTTGCGTCAGTCCCAGCGAGGCGGCCAGCTCCGCGCGTTCGGGCAGGGCGAGGTACTGAGTCTTCTGAAACCTTCTCTGTAAAGCAGCCAGCTGAAAGCTGGAATAAATAGTCCTAGGTTTTCGAACTTTCTTTGGTTTGCCATTCACCATCCTCACCTCAGGTTCGGCCACTTCTTTCTCTAAATAATCAAAACAAACCCAGTTAGAGCTTGTCGGCAGGCATTGTCCCTTTTGCTGCTGCTGTTGTGTGCCGTTAAGTCTGTTAGGAATCACAGCGACCCTGTATAGGGTTTCAGAGAGCGGCTGATGGGTTTGAACTGCGTTGCTTATCTATTCTTTGAGTTTCTTACCATGCAAGCTTCACCCTGTCTTTCCCCCTATCCACCCCTTTGGTTTACAAGACAGAGATAAACACGCCCCTCCCCCAAACCATGGTAAAGACTTCAGTTAATTCCCTGCTCTTTTCATTGCAATTCCTGTGCATTTATTTGTTAAAAATGCCCAGCTGCCTTCTTGGCATGCGGAATTCAATCTTTGCCCTACTTCCCCAAATTTGTTGTCACGCCCATCTTGTTCTCATCCGCTTTTCTTTGGTGAGAACAATCATCCTCTCAAGGGGCTTCTGGGGAGAGCCTCCCCCCAACCCCCACTCGTGACCTCGGTTCGGTCAGCGTCCGTTGTGGCGCCTGCACAGGCCAGACTCCTGGGCAGGGAAGACGCAAAGCAGGGTCTCCAAAGTTCAAAGACCCACAAGCAAACTGTGCTCCTTCACTTCAGCAGCAAGCGGTCGGAGCCGCAGCAGACAGAGGGCCGATTATGTAGCCCCCACAATCTCACTGCAGATCTGCGAGGGCACAGATGTGTCTGGTTTCTTTTACAAATAGACTTAATAAGTTCTTGGCCAAAAGAAAGAAAGAAAAAAAACCCACTTCCATTTATGCACGATATACGGGTAGTGAAAGAATCGAAGACATTCCCGCTCCCGCCTCTCTTTAAAGTTCATCGAGAGTCAGTCACACATTGAAAAAGAATCGGTAATGGTGGTGGGGGTCTCTTCGTAGCAAGGGGGCGTTAGGTCAAAACAAATTCCTCACTGACCTGTCTTCGGGGAAAAGATTTTTCTGAACGCATAATTTACAAATGTATGTATCGTGGGCCCAAAAGTCTTTTTAAAACACCATTTTATCAGAAGTGCCTGAATAACCGGCGAGCCGAGGTATGTACGTGTATGTTTATATGTAGCGAGCTGCTGGGAGAGGAAGGGTGGAGGACAAGGCCTACAGGACTGTGGTCTCCCCTTCAGCTAGAGTAGGGGATGCTAATATTAGCAGGATTATTAATGTGCTGGTGGGAAGAGATCAAACCCTCCAGTAAAGCCTCTCCGCAGGTACCTCATACCTCTCTAAAAGTCCAAGCTCATTAACCCTCTTAAACTCAACTAAATTTCGAGGACAAGAAAGAAAGATGTTGGAGAGTTAAAAGGAGACAGATTTTACACACCCAACAACAACATAACAACAAGGAACAGAAAAAGAAAATCCCTCCAACAAAGTGACTCCTCAGCCACTCTCCACAACTTTAAATGGCTTTTTGTTTTTGGAAATGCCTTGGATAGACCGCAAGGCTCTCGGCGCGCTCTTCCTCTGGCGGGCTCCAGCTCTCAACCCCACCCCCACGCCGCGCGCTCTGGGCACCCGCCCGACCCTGGCTCGTGGCTTCTTTCAGCCTAATCCCAACAATGTCTTTGAGGCAGCCTTCCACTCCCACTCGCACCAATCGAGCACGTTTATAAAAAATGCCAACAACTAACCTCCTCTATTATGCAAACTCCACGGTGGCTGTTCGATTCTTTCTTCTTTCCACCGCGAACCCCCTTTCCAGCCTAGCTGGCTTCCTGGCTAGGCAATCTGGGAATCAGTCAACTGCGACTGCGCCTCCACCCCACCCCCAGGTACCGGAGGGGAGAGACTCTAGTTTGAACCCCTGTCGCCTTCTTCCACTAGAAATCTTCCACTTCTAAGATGTTGACCCGGGAACCTCTGTTGGGTGCAGAGTCCGGATTCCTACTTATACCCGGTGCACCCCCATTCCAGTGGACGGTGTGGCTCCCAATCTCCCACCCCACTCGATTCTCCCGAGTCCTGGGTCCTCTGTGTGCCCCCGTGGCCCCGTACCTGGCTGGCTGGCGGCGCTTGGGACTCGGTTGTAGGCGCCGCCGTACTGATGATAAGGGCTGGCGTAGCTGTAGTCGGCATAGGTTTTGGCGGGGTAGCTCCCAGCGGAACCGTTCACGCCGTGGTACTGGTACTGGTAGGGGTTAAGAGCTTTGCCGTAGGAAGCCGAGGTAGGAGAGCAATAGCCGTGCGGGGCTCCCCCCGTGGGGCTATAGTAGTCGGAATCGGTAGCCGACGACTCGGGCAAAGTTGGCGATTCCTGAGACGGATGGTGCATGGCTGCGGACGTCTGGAAAGGAGCTTGGAAGTCTCCGGATCGGATGCTGGGGACCCTTCTGTCAAATACTCCTGTCATCGCTCGCAGGCGGAGGCTGTCCTGGCTTCTGAGGCGGCGGCTGCAGCCGGAGATGGCAGTGGGGCTGCTCTGGTCTAAGCAGACATGACTGTGGGAGCGGAGGAGGAGGAGGAAGAGGAGGAGGAGGAGAAAAGGAGGAGGAGGTGGTGGCGGCGGCGGCGGCGGCGAGGAGGAAGCTGGGAGTCGTGGAGGCTCTGTCTCCGGCAGACTGACTGCTGGCTGAAGCGCAGCACAGCCTTGGTTAAATCCTTAATTGCGCGCTTACGCACAGCGGGGTGGATCGGGTTCCATTGGCCAGGGCCTCCGGAGCAGCAGCAACACCCTAACTCGTCCAACTAGTTTTAGCACAACAAAGCATTGCTTAAAAAAAGAAGAGAAAAAATGAAGGTGTGCGTGTGTGCGCGCTTGTGTGCGTGTATATGTGTTGTTGCTTGTTGCGGGGAGGCGAGGTCTCAATCTGTTGTTAGTGAATACCAAAGACAATAACAGAAACGCCAACACCCAGCTCTGTGATGTCTGAAGACAATGTGTTCCAATCAGCAGCCTCAGAAAATGCACATGTGTTGGAGATAGGTCGACGACGGTGTTTCCTTGCCCCGGCTACCGTGGGAGCCACCAGGGTCAAATGTGGCATTGAACACTGATATCGGAATGGGAAGTCAAAGCGGGGATCGGAGTGTGGAGGACGAATGCGAAAAATAAAGGCGCAGTGTTTTTATTAGGATGTTTGGAGGCGAGTTGTAATTTACATGTGTTGAACACGCGCGATTTTGGGCAAAGACAGCCAAATGTGCAACGAGGAGTTCCTTTCAACTAGATGACTCTAGCAGATAAGGGAGGAACAAGGATGCTTTCGAATGCACTCTGTTCATTCAGTAGCTAATGGGAAAGAGTTCATGTATTTCGAATCCCCTAAAACTCACTGCCCTAAGTACACATGGCTCAACGACATCCAAATAGTCACTGCTCCCACTTCTGTTCAATATTCTTGTCTGATAGGAAGATTTTGGAGTGGAGGTCTGTAAGTCTGTCTGGTGGCCAAAGACTCTAGAAAAAGCTAATTGTACCTGTCATTCTTATGGGACAGAATGGGAACCCAAATAAGACAGGGGAGTAGATGTGAATCAAAGCCCTTTTGGGAAGTCAGAAGATGCCCATGAATTTTCCCTTCTCGGTTCTCTGGGCGTAGCACCCCAAGCCCTGCCTAGCCATTCCCTTTCCGCTTTATTTCTTGCAGCGAAGACGTTTCAGCTCACATGCGCAGAGAGAAGTCAAAACACTTGAGGCCCGCAGTCCAGAGTTTGCTTTTTTATGACGTGTCACTCTGCTCTATTTGTGATTCACCTGGGAGTTTAGAAATTTAGCATGTCATTCTCTCCCTTTTCATTTCCACTCTCCTCAATTAGGTAACTCTTGGACCTGGAGTTTGATTTGGGGCCTCTCTTTAGCTTCTCCCAGGAGGTCCCGAGGTCTGGAATCTGGGAACTCCACGGGATATCCAGGTGGGACGCTCTGGCCTGTAGTCTTTCCCACTCTCTAGTCCAAGAAGAAACCGTCAGCGTTAATTGTGTCTAGGTGTTAGTTTGGCCTTCTTTAGCCCGAACTACTTGGGCTCAAAATATAGGTCAGCAGGGAAAGCTGGGTGTCTGGAACTAGAAGCAGGATGTCAGACTGGCTCTGGAACTCCATAGTCGAGCAGCCACGCGTGCACCAATTCCCTGCCTCGCCGTCTGGGCGCCATAAAACCACAGCTATTGTCAAACTGCCCTCTGGGGGGCAACTCCAGCTCCAGCGCACAGGGAAAGTGGGGGTGGGGGCAACTGGTCGAGAATCGCAGTGCCCCATCCCCCTCCGGTGGCTTGCTTGCGGCCTGCGCTGCCCTGGACTGCTGCTCTGAAACAGACGTGCAGGTAAACGGAGCCTCAGCTGCCCGGCACCCTGACCCCTTGCTGCCGATTCCGGCTCGGCTGTTCACCTGCAGATGTAGGTTTTCGGCTTGTGAGGGCGGCAGGAAAACAATGCCAACCCCTCCGGACTCGCGGCCCTAGGCTCTGCTCTGGAGACGTTCTCCGCTCCCATGGAGTCACCTTGCACACATCGTGCTTTTCAGTTAAACGAATTGCATCTCTAAATGAAAGCCAGGGATGGACGTTACAAAGCTTCACCTCCTCAAAGGGGAGGGGCTCCAGTTCTTCTCGCCCTTCCGCCAACATTTTTTGCTTGACAAGATACTTCAAAGTTACTACGTGGAAGGAAATAAAGTCCAAAGGGTTATGCTAAATAGGATGTTTCTAGCAATTCCTGTAAACCTTGCTGAGAAAGCAGATTCCAACCCAGATGGGATTGGAAGCTGCAGCATTTGAGCAACATTCAGAAGTTTGGGGTCCTTTTGAATATAATGTCACCATCTTCAGTTAGTTCTAAACCTTGCTAATTTTCACTTTTTTACCAGCCCCCAAAATATTCCCTTCCATATTTTACAAAAGACAGGAGTGGGACGAGAGGAGAGAATTTAACTTCTTTGTTTCAATGTCCAAAGCCTTCAGCTAAATTGAGACCACTTGTGCACAGGTCTCTGTGAGGTGAGACCTCCGAAGTTGAGTATGTCTGGAAGGGAGGCTAAACTTCAGCACTGACTTTGTTCAACATCTTTTCTGGTGAATTTCACTGCCCTCACCCCTTTATTCAAACGCAGTTGAAAGGGAGAGGGAGCCTTAAATCAAAAGAAGTCGGAGTCTGTTCCTCATTTCACAAGATAGGTATCCTAGCGCTTCGGCCGCACACCCGCGGGGGATGTCCGCACGTGGAACCATGTCTTTTGCTGCGTTTGTGGGTTGTTGGGACTTTAAGAACCCGAGCTTTGTAAAGCAAGGGGAGCGACGCTGTTGCCTCTTTTAAAAACTCACTGTCAGGCCCAGTCGTGGATAAAAGAGCCTCACAGCATCAAACTCCTCCAGAGCTGTCACTGCGACACGTAGAAAGTATGTGAGTAATTTCATTTTTTTAGTAGCCGAAATCTGCAAAGGGGTGAGTGGGTGGGTGGGTTGGGGAAAACCCTTACCGAGAAGTGCAAGTCTTTATCATGAGCGCCACCCAGTGTCAACGAAGAAAAGCGCTCAAACGGCAACTATTTTCTTAGCTCAGTCATTGGCCTAACAAGTCTGGTGGCCCACTGGGTTTAAGCACACTACCATTGGCTTTCCTTCTCTCTGCTTACAGCAGGTTTCTTCCTCCATTCCCACTCTTTTTTTTCTTTTAATCCTTATAGATTCTGTTCGTTTCCCCTCCCCCATTACCAGGCCTCTTTGACGATTCTTGGAAGAATTGAGTTCTGTTCAGTTCAAGTTCCCCAACGGAGAAAAGATAATTTCGTTTTCCTACACAATTCTCAAGAATCAATTACGTCCTCCCCTAATCAGATGAGATGCTGGGAGGTGGGGTGGTGAGAGGGACTTCTGGCTAGTCACTAGTCCTACAACTGGAAAAACGGTGCCACTCTGAGTTTGCAGAAAGAGTGCCATGGAAGGATGGAGGAAAGATTGTTTTAGTGGCTGCAATAATTCCGTTTTTATCTCTGGACCATCAGGAAATCTGTTTACTCACTGATGTGCTAAAAGCAGAGTATCCTTTCCTTTGGGCTTGAAGTGCAGATAAATCAATGCAGCTGAAAATACTTAATTTATGAACTTAAGCTCTTTTTAATACATAAACCAAGTTTAATTTATTTAAAACATTGTGCACACTAATCGGATGCACAGAATTCAAGTGAAAAACGATCCCATAACATTTATTAAAATCCTATGTGAAAATTTGATACAAACAATTCTTTTTGACTTTCAAACTTCTATGAGTAGAATACCTGTCTCTAAAAAGTCTTGTTCTTTTAATTTGTAGTACGTTATCTATTACTTGCCTTTATCTGTCCAGTGAAAGCTTTCTCAGATCAGTTCACTGTTATAATGTTACTATTGATCACCATCCATCTAAGACATTTGTCATCCCAGAATTCTCAAAGCCCAAACAAAAAGTCTCATATTTTGTGGATATAGATCTGAGTAATCATTTTATTTATCTTTGAGCTAAGACCATTTAACAACTCAATGTAAAAATCAGCCGTGAAATATTCCATTTGATTTCTGTACAGAGAAGACACACTTCCATGAATTGGGATGAGATGAAAAGGCAGGAGTTGTGAAGATCTTTAAAAAAGTATCACAAATCATTGCTTTTGATAACTTACCTGAAGACCTATGTGTTTCCCAACAGAGGGCCAGGTGTCCTGTCTTGGGACAGACATTCAGAGGTGCTTTATATTTTAAATTAGCAAAACTATTTAATTCCTCACCTAGCTTCAAAGTTCCTCCCAGTACATTGTTGTTATTTGGTGCCCTCTAAGGAGCTCTGGTAGCGTAGTGGTTACGAATCGGGCTGCGAACCGGAAGGTCAGCAGTTCGAAACTACCAGCTGCTCCGCGGGAGAAAGATGAGGCTTTCTGCTCCTGTAAAGATTTACAGCCTCGGAAACCCTGTACAGGGGTCACTATGGGTCGGAACCGACTCGACGACACTTAACAACAACAACAAGGAAGACCCCCAGCGAGATGGATTGGTCAAGTGGCAGCATCGATGGACTCAAGCGTGGCAACAGCAGTGAGGTTGGCCCAGGATTGGGCAGTGTTTCGTTCTGCTGTGCATAAGGTCCCTATGGGTCAGTACCACCTCAATGGCACCTAACAACAACAGTCTGTTCCAAGGAGTTCTGGTGTGGTGCTGTGGGTTAATGCGCCAGACTGCAAAGCCGTTTGAACTGTAAGGTTGGCCGTTCAAGCTCACCAGCTGACTCAACGGCACTTAACAACAACAAGTCTGTTCCAAAGGAGCTCTGGTCTCATAGTGGTTACAAATTGGGCTGCGAGCCTCAAGGTCAGCAGTTTGAAACTACCAGCTGTTCGGCGGGAGAAAGATAAGGCATTCTACTCCCATAAAGATTTAAAGCCTCAGAAACCCTGTGCAGGGTCGCTATGAGTCAGAACCGACTCCATGGCACATAACAATAACAACAATCTGTTCCAAATCAGAGAGACTCTATGCACAACAGAACAAAACACTGTCATCCTCAAAATTGTTATGTTCGAGCCCATTGCTGCTGCCACTGTGCCAATCTATCACACTGAGGTCATGAGGTCATTTTAGGTTGAATTGACTAGGCCCA